TACGGCAATTACCATGATATGAAGAATCCTATAAGTGTAATTTATGTGACCTAGTACAGAAGACATTTCACTTACGACTCTTGATCAATGTCAACCATGTGCTGTATGACCTTCTCCGTTCCATGGAAAGTTGGATCAGCCATCGCAAATATCACTACATCCTCCATTGTCCATGTAAACAACTGCGTTCGCATTGGTGCAGACTCATACATCTAAAAGAAATTTTAGGAATTATCCAAGGCTTTCATAGAGCCATATATCATTAAAACCAATGAAATAGCATTTGCTATATTCTAAAATACCAATTCCAATTGTTCAACTGATAAATAAAGAGACTGATAATAATGACAATCATAATAACATCAACAACAACAGCCTAAAAAGATTTGTTAACCAAGTTCTGTAAAAAGCTTACATAAAGTCATTCCTTACCAACTTTGACCTCTTGATATAGGTCTCACTGTTCTTTTCCTGCAGATTTTTGTACAGTTCCTCAATCTTGCCTGTAGGGAAGAGGAACATGGTCTTGCGGAGTTCCTCTATCTGTAAAAAAAATATGTTGGTATTATGGTAATGCCATTAAAATACAAGACAAACAAATTTAACAGTAAAAAGTCATTCTTTTAATGATATCAACTGCACAACAACAAGTAATTAATTTTCTTTCTGTAGTACAACAAAAAGGCCAGAAATGACCTGCTAAAAACAAGTGAAGCCTATTACCAGAAGCATATAACAAGATATCCTTTAAATGAACATTGCAAATGTATGTATCCTTATTTCTTAACATACCAGAAATCAACAAAATTGCAAATAAACACTCACCCTTGCATCTAGTGCCTTGATCCTCTTGCAACTCTCTTGGTATTCATCTTCTAAGAGTTCATAATTGTACCTCAACTTCACTTCAAATGGATCATCTCCAATCTCTAAAAGCCAGTGCTTTACCTATGGAAGTAAGAGTGTGATTTATAGCATAGCTTCACCATTATCTCCTCATTGTGTTTGGATAAAGTGATGGCTCATATGTGGGGTCTTGAATCTTGTATTGGTAACTTCTGAACTGTTTGCTAAGTACATATATATACCACAAGATCAGTTAAAAAGAGAAGCAAATAATTTTTATTTTCCAAATTAAGTAATATAAACAATATAGGGTAAACTGGTAAAACCCAGAAAAGTGCTCTCTTCATATAGGATTAGGAAACCATAATCAAAAAGTACTTGTGACTCAGTTGAAGGTTCTGAAAATTTGAAGTGTCTCCTATTTCAATCTCATCACAGTGATTAGTTTCTCTTAAAGTCTAATCCAGTTCTCTACTTACTCGTATAACCAAATCAGGAGGCAAGGGACTATCAGCTGTGAATGCCTTAGGCCGACGATTATGCACTAACTTTATCCACTTCACCACAGACAACAGGTCATCACTAAAGGCTTGTGCAAACTTGTAATTATATGGGAAGGTAATCTTCCATGTTCCCACTGTCAGTCTCCTGTGAAGGTAACAAGATTATATTAGAAAGAATTTAAAATTACTTCTGATCTAGGAAATATACCAGTAATGTGTGTTCTTACTGCTTCCTATTTAATAGGAAATGTGTATGTATACAAAATATACACATTCATTAATACAGTTACAGGGAAAACAATTACTATATACATATTTTTATCAATAAACTCATCTATTTACAAATGTGTAAAAGTCAAAACTCATCTTGTGATACATATTACTGTGCCACAAAAATAAGTAGATAAATCCCCCCCCATTCCCCCAAAAAAGAAAAAGTGGCAACTATAATGCCAATCAGGGGGGGAAAAATGTCAGTGATTCTTAACATTCCCTCAGCAAATGGTACTATAGAATAAATTCCCATAAAATGTCTATGTAACCTTTTATTGGTAATGTTACTTAAAATTTGTGAATTAAAGTTGTCATTTTCTATAGTGTTAGACAATTTAGTGGAAACTATCAAGGAAACTAATGAGAAAGAGACCAAGAGATGACTGCTTGCTTTAGCTCAAACCATCAAATTTCCAGTTAAGGTTGCATAAAATGAGAGCTGAAGATAAGGAGGGTTTCTTAAAATAACAGTTCTTGCATGCGGCACCCTTGACAGGAAAGGAGCCCTCAATAATTTTCAAACTATAGCAGATAGAGATCAAACATTAGGAGAATCTCCTTCTGAGCTATTCTGAAGAAGGAATGACATACCATGCTTTATTCTGCTTCTGAACAAGCTCTTGCATCGATTCTCTCTCCTCACGAACTTCCCGAGACTGAAGAGCGCGAGACAACTTTCCACTTGACAGAGTCATTATATTGTGGTCATCGAACTGAATCTGAAATGGATATTTAAAATGTGACACTATATATGAAGAAATTGATTGCCTATTCATCAGTCTTTATAAAAAAAATCAGCTTCATTAGTAAGAGCCAAACAGAGAGAGAGAGAGGGAGAGAGAGAGAGAGAGAGAGAGAGAGAGAGAGAGAGAGAGAGAGAGAGAGAGAGAGAGAGAGAGAGAGAGAGAGAGGGAGAGAGGGAGAGAGAGAGAGAGAGAGAGAGAGAGAGAGAGAGAGAGAGAGAGAGAGAGAGAGAGAGAGAGAGAGAGAGAGAGAGAGAGAGAGAGAAAGAGAGAGAGAGAGGGTGAGAGGGTGAGAGGGTGAGAAAGTAAGAGAGTGAGAGAGTGAGTGAGAGAGAGAAAAGGAGAGAGAGAGAGAAAAGGAGAGAGAGAGAGAGAGAGAGAGAGAGAGAGAGAGAGAGAGAGAGAGAGAGAGAGAGAGAGAGAGAGAGAGAGAGAGAGAGAGAGAGAAAACTACAAACCTGCAGTTCATCTGTCTGACATGATATCCTTCCATTGGCCATCAAGTATGTTAAGTCACCTAAAATGAGATACAATAAGAAATAAACCATAGTACTAGCTCTTATAACAGGAAAATAAAAAGTAAACAAGTCATCATTTCTTTACAATGTTTCATATCGTTTCTCTATAAATAATTTTCCGTTTTCTATATAATCAACTAAAGGAGTGGATACTTTGTACACGCACTCAGTATAAAGTACATCTGATGCCGCTGGGAGAGTTCAGCACCAATTTTTATGTCTCCTTTAGCTACCAACTGCAACTGTAAAGATGAATTTTCCGGATCTTCTCCTGGGGTTGCATCTCCTGCTTTGTCTCCTGAGGCTGTTGTAGACAGGAAAAGATAAGTAAAAACAAACAAGTAATTTTCTTCTTTAAATACATCAAATTTTAGTATAAAAAAGAAAGCAGTAATTTACGTCTCATTAAAACATTTCCACTTTACCAGATATCATGTAGAGAATGTTACTCTTCCATCATAAACCCGGCAACATTGGGCAAATCTCAACCACCTACCTGAAGAGGGTTTGACATCTCTGATAAATGCAGCTACTTCCTGACCCAAAGTGAGAAGGGTCATGTGTGTAGTGGTGGACCAGGTCAAATGGAGTTGCTCACTGACATTCAAAAGCAGTTCTCCATTTACATGCTCAACAATAACTTCACTTACTTGACCACATTCACCCTGGAATAGCATAAACACTAAGCACTGTATTTTGGAAACAACAGGATAACAGTGGTAAAACCATTAGTCTGTATTCCTTTACAACTGCAAAGGTAATTTTAACCATTCAAGCTCATGCATGCTTGCAGAGGGATAATTATCAAATGTATTATGTTAACACACAAGAAAATAAAAATATCATCTAAACCCTTCACAATAATAAGAAAAATAAATCATAAGTTGGAGGCAAGGAATGTTAAGAAAGGATGCATACTGAACATCACTCTTTTAAGTAATCACCTTGTATATACAAATAAATTAAACAAAAAACTGATATATTGTTCTCAGAAACTACTAAATATGACTAAAGTATCCTTCTGAAAGATGGTATAACCCAACTTTTTAGAAGGCCCTCAAACTATAGAACCTCTTTATGAAGAGTAACAGGTCCTGGATGCTCTGTAGTTTAGAAAATAAAATGAGGTATTTGATGATGTGCTCTCTGTCCTTGAAATGTGACACAAAGATCACTATAACCCAGAGACCAGACCAAGAAATGAGGTATTTGGCAGATGGAAAATGCTCTTATCTGTCTGAAAAGTGGTTGAATTATAGCAATCTGCAGATTGCACCTCAAGGGACCAGAAAACATTGTTTGCAAAAGTGATTTGCAAATCATATACATTCTTAAACTGGCAGATGAGAGTGTTGCCTTCACAGACTGATTCTGGAGAGAAAAGGGAAAATAAACAACTCAGTATAACACGGTAACACAATAATCAAGTATTCTTCTCTTATCACCTTTATCTCTGAAGATTTTATACACAAGTACTGAGTGCCTGTAGGGACAAATCGCACCATCTTCATCCCAGTTATAGTTGTTCTTGAGTTCTTTGCAGACTTAGCACTCTCCAGGCTGTCTACTCGAGCCATTAACGACACTGAAAAAAAATTTCCCTGTGACAATAAATTTCCATTATATACTTCAGTTGATAATAGAGACAGTAATTGTTACTTAATTCAAACTTCAATTATGCCACCTAAAATTTAACTAACATAAGCACTATCTGCAGCATCAAATTCTCACCTTTTTGTTCTGTGACAGCAAATACATTGATGTTTGTGCATTTTACACTCATACTGCTGAAGGTTTCTACAGAAGAAGAAGAGCCACTTTCTTGCACTTTCCTGGGTTTCATATTCTTTGTATATTCCTTGAGCTCCCTTGAATATCTGTAACATAAATATGCAATATAATGTTGATTCAATCTTTTCTTTAATATCAAATCTCCATATAAAATATGTATGAAACATTAGTCAGGTACAAAGAGGATCAAAAAGATAAATACATCTAGAAAATATTTAGTAAATCACAAAAAGTTTATATCTATCACTGACTAGGTAGTTCTGGAATTCTGTACTCTACATTTTATGGAATTAATAATGAAATGTACTTCCTCTGTCAATTCATGTAGCATGTAAGGCTCCAGTAAATTTTATTAAACTTTTCACTTCATCATTCTGATGACAAAGAACTTTGATTTCTGACACTTATGTATGTAATTTACAAGGTTCATTATACCTGAGAATGGCAGTTACTAGCAAGGCCAAATCAGGGCTCCATTCTAACTGTATGTTGTCTAGAAGAGCTTCAGCCTGAAGAGGAGGCAGTGACATGTTGCATCTGGCGGACTGAGGAGCCACAGATGACAGCTGGACAAGACACAGACCAATACACATGGGTGTTCCCCACTGATGGACTCTTCTTGGGGTTGCTGCTGCACTTGAGGCTGCCATCTGGGAGCCACTGTGTTGACCTGATCTGAGAGTGGCCACCATGGACTCCAATAAGAGCTCTCCTTCGACTTCTGTGGTCCACTGTGACACAAAGACACTGTGGCGTGCATGCTGAAGCATCATTTGGCTGTATGGAGAGCCAGGGACACAACCTCCACATGTGACATCCCACATCTCTACTATAAGACCAACACAGTATCTATGGAAAGCACCATTCCATGGCTTTACTTTTTCCTTGTTGGTTTGATCTGGAATCTGTAAAAAATCATTAATGAATAAGTAATTACAAAAGTAATAAAAAAACATAGGTGATATTCATTTCAGTAAAAATATCAGAAAAATAATAAAGGTACTTGTAATTATATCAAACATAAAAAAATCATGATTAACTCTACTTTTAAAAAATCATAACTTACATAACTTGGCATCGCTGGTTGTGACTTCCTCCTGGTCATGTAACCAGTCCAAAAGCCTAGGTCTTTGTGGTCATAAAAGATGTGAAGTGAACGGAACTCACTCTTCATATTCACTCTGTCCCCAACAAACTGTTGAACAAGATACCATGATATTTACATATTCTGTTCACTGAACTCAAATTCAATATTGTGAGAGACACAATCTTTTTCTATTCTTATTATTAACTAATATCATATATAGAGAAAACAGACATACAATTTAAGACAAATGCATTTACAGACACATAATTAGCAAATTTTGATTTACACATAATAAAAAAAAAACACCAAATTAAAAAAAAAAATCACAGAAGGTTCTATTTCTGAGTCTCACCTGAGTTTGTAGATTGAACCTATTAAGAAAGATAGATGATTCATGTGTGCAATGTAACTTGATGTTATCGACTTGGAGTTCTGTGCTGAAGTCGGGTAATAGAGCTGGGAAGTTTTCTGGGGGAAAATGTTGAAGAGTTTATTAATAAAATACTTATATAATATATATATATTTCTTTTTTTACTAAAATGTTCTAAACATTTACCAAAATCCTTTATATTTTTTTTTGTTCCACTAATATGTCAGAACCTCATTTCAAAAGAAAATTAATATCAGTCTGGGTTTTTAAGCATTTCCTCTCAGTTTAACAAAAGACAGTTCTATCCACTTAAAAACCTAGCTTACCAAGAGCCCCTTCCCGTGTCAGATGAGTCTGAAGGTCAATGCCTGCAAGTGTGCCCTGTAGAGCCATCTGTCCAACATTATTGACAAACTTTGTACCAATGTCCTCCACCTTGAGTTGGAATTTCTGTTGGTAAAGATGATGAGATTCATTCAACCTTAATGCAGTCTATTACAGCAAGTATGAGTGGAGTATTAGTAATAAAGCAGCAAAAGCAATAAAATTCTATACATCCAAATTCATCCCCAATGTTCTCATTTCATCTTTTCTTTAGAAAGCATAGCTTCTGTGTAAAGAAGAAAAAATAAACCAAAAGAGAAGAATAATATTACAAAACAGTGTCCAGGAAATACTAACCAGAGGGACAAACAACCAATACTTTTTCAGCTGGACATCAAGAGGTGTTGCACTTGCTGCTGATCCATACGTTGGCCTTGCAACTGGTGTTGCAGCCAAAGCTTTGTTCTCAAGAAATGTAAGCAAGCGCTCTCTAATAGTGACTTGTGGTTCATTCAACTGTATGGAGATGTTCTGAAACAAAACCCATCTTTAAAATTTAAACAAGAGATAAGTATGGTAGAAAAACCCACAATGCAAAAACTAGATTTCTTGAACATGAGACTACAGTTTCATAATCCACCAGGTGGATTTAAAAACTGTAGTCTAATGTTCAAGAAATCTAGTTTTTGCCTTGTGGGTTTTTCTACCATAGTATCAACATGGAAGAGTATTTTACCATTCAAAAGATAACTAATACAGAAGACCAAAGTATGTCCAAGATGATAGAAAGAAATGGAGAAAAATAAAATGTTACTTTAAAGACAGAAGCTGCCAACTACTACAAACATGCTTCTACATTTTTTTTTTTTTTTTTTTTTTTTTTTTTTTTTTTTTTTTTTTTTTTTTTTTTTTTTTTTTTTTTTTTTTTTTTTTTTTTTTTTTTTTTTTTTTTTTTTTTTTTTTTTTTTTTTTTTTTTTTTTTTTTTTTTTTTTTTTTTTTTTTTTTTTTTTTTTTTTTTTTTTTTTTTTTTTTTTTTTTTTTTT